GTGACGGGTGTATTGGTGTTAGGTGTAGTGGTGTCGGGTATAGTGGTGTTGGATGTAGTTGTGTTGTGTGTATTGATGTTGAAGGTAGTGAAGTTGAGATAAGAAGTGGAAGCAAATATAAGCAAATTTACTGTATTATCTTTTATATAACGGATTTCAGAACAGTAACGCATTAATTCATTAATTGAATTTAAAGTTTTAACGCTTTACTCATAGAAATCAATTTATTATCTTTACGTATATCTATCTTATATAGGAGTCTTTTAATGTAATTTTCACCAACTCGTAGACGGCCGACTAACTTGACAATTTGTGTCAAGGACCTATGACAATACAATAATTTATTAACTTTATCCTAGTATCCTGATCGAAATCGCCAGGATAAAATAAAATAATTTTATCTTTAGCGTGTTTCTTTTTTTTATTAGTAACGCGGTTAAATGTGCTTTCTCTCTCTCTCTCTCTCTCTCTCTCTTTTTTAGTCTTCACTAAATGACTTTATAAAGAGACATGCATAGAAATAATTAATACTTAATTTATAAGGGAGAACCAACGATTATAATTAAGGCCGTTAATAAATAGTGAAAACCGAATAAAACTTCTTCTAGTGTGTAAAACTACTTTTAGAGTGAGCTCGTAACGTCGAGTTAAAAATAAGAACTTAATTAAACGCGGGAAAAACTCAGTGGTGTTTAAGTACATATAAGAAATCATTGAGTTATTCAGTAAAAGTAAACAAAAAGTCATAAAATAATTTCTAGATATTGTTACGAGCTTGAGGTTCGTGACAATAAAAATTGCCGATAAAATTACCTAAATTAACACTTTAATTTACTTTACACAAATTAAAGTTAAGAACACTAATAATTAAACACACTAATTCACTTTATCCCGCTCCGAAGCTTCGCTTGTTTCGCCAAATCAACACTCCTCCCATCGCATCTTGCAGCGCCTATATATTTAAATTAGCAAAGAAATATCCAGAATGTTCAAGTAAACACGCGCAAGGTACCGAGCGTTCGAGTTTCGACTAGGCGCTGTCGGTTGAGTGATTTGTGATGTCATTTTCTCAATGCTCCCCTCGCTCTCGTTCCTGACACTAGATGGCGCTATTTGACTTATTCATGCGACAATATTAATATCCTCAAGACCGAATTTCGGTAATTCTAGTATACTGATCGAAATCGCCAGGATAAAATAAAATAATTTTATCTTTAGCGTGTTTCTTTTTTTTATTAGTAACGCGGTTAAATGTGCTTTCTCTCTCTCTCTCTCTTTTAGTCTTCACTAAATGACTTTATAAAGAGACATACATAGAAATAATTAATACTTAATTTATAAGGGAGAACCAACGATTATAATTAAGGCCGTTAATAAATAGTGAAAACCGAATAAAACTTCTTCTAGTGTGTAAAACTACTTTTAGAGTGAGCTCGTAACGTCGAGTTAAAAATAATAACTTAATAAAACGCGGGAAAAACTCAGTGGTGTTTAAGTAAATATAAGAAATCATTGAGTTATTCAGTAAAAGTAAACAAAAAGTCATAAAATAATTTCTAGATATTAATATCCTCAAGACCGAATTTCGGTAATGGCGGCCAGCCTCAAAGGAGATCATCTGTGCATAGGATGGTATTGACTAAGTGCATGCGCTAGCACAGGTGCACTCTTTTCCCCTCACCTTCATAGTCCGATAGGACGGGAAACCAACAAGACCGGAGAGAGATCAGGCGCAGGATCAACAGGTTTACACGCTTTCAGAGTGACAGAAAAACTCAATGACTAATTTTTTTTGGCTTGCCCCGGGATTCAAACCCTTGGGACTTCATGACCAACATTACTACTTACGACTACTAGACCAATGAGACAGGCTTCTGAAGTTGTTGCATGGACTTAGTCTATCCATCTTTACGTGGTAGAGCCACGCTACAGCTATATTATAGTTGTAGCATGAATGGGTTGGCTCGACCGGGGCAGGGCCACGCTTTCACAGAATACCACGTAATGCTGCTGTGTTTCGTATGGTGAGTGTAGAGAACCAGAGACCCTTTTTACTGGAATCGAGGTATTCCATCTTAGTCCTCAGGAGTGACAGCGCATCTACATTTTGATTCCTAATTGAGGATAAATGTAAATGTCTATGGGCCACAGCATCTACTTACCATCATGTAGACTGTGTGCTTGTATATCGCCCAATGCTATAAAAATCCAAGACATATTAATCTATCAAAGACCTAATGTCAAATTGTGAACTTTTTCCTAGACCTACTACACTATATTATTTTAGCGCGCGTGGTGAATCAATTTGTAATATGGACGTTATGAGTATTATTATAATTCACGATATTGACACCTAAATTTTATATTACTATACCTTGGAGATTGAGCTTTGCTCAGCGTTGGAAAAAAATTCAGCAGACATTACACCAACCCAGAAAAACTGGTAAAGTAAAACAGTATCTACTCGTAAGTACAACATTGCATCTAAATAGTTAGAGCCGTTTCTTAGAAGTCGTTACGTATAAATATACATATTATATCTTTTTTATTTCTATTTTGACCACTACTGGAAGGTATTTTTTTTTCATTGTATATAAACAAATACAAATTCACGGTTAAAGAGGAAGCATAGCACCATAAAATTGTTCGTAGCTCCACAAACAAAACAGTGAAAACGACTGTTCCAGAGATGATACCTAGCTAGATCGATTTTTCGCCTCCGTAAACCATATTGCAGATTACATCGCAGACAGAGTCGTTTTCGAGAACGTGATTACAAGCAAATAATCTCGTATTGGATAGGATGTAATGTACTTGCTATAGTTGTTTGTTTGTAGATTTTGGCAATTGGTAAATTAATTATGCAAGGCCTATGAAAGGTTAATATTTTCCGAGGATCCGGTGCGAAAATCCGATTAGGAACGTTATCTGTTTGTTAATGAATCATGCCAATTGGGTTTTCAGCGAAATGTTATATAGCTTGATTGGATTGAGCTGTTGATGAGTAATGTTCTTAACTAGTTTCAATTTCAAGTCATCCGATTAACTTGACTAACAAGTAGTCTAAATATATCAATATGTTGTACATTTATATGTAACTGTTTTATACATTTATATGTACTTGTATATTTTTCATTCTTTTTGCCTTTCCCATGGATTGTCCCTTGGGGTCCCCGCTTGGCAGACTGGATTTAAATTATTTCAATTGTGATCAGGAAGATAAAAGCTCAAAGAATATAAAACCCGAGAGAGAAAGTTTAGTGGCGGTATAAGAATATTCACTACCTCGTATCATCCCGTGGGTGTCAGAGGGAAACAAATCAGGAGACGGGCAGCAGCGTCTTCTAAGAATGACTTAAAATAAAAAAAACTGCGTTTCCCAAATATCCCTCTATGAGGGAGACATATGTTCTAGTAATAACCTTTTGCTTCAGTGCCCCCCTTTTAGTACTAACTTTGTACAATCATCGTTCTTTGTTCAATCTGTTCTTCTTTGGAACGCTCTACCTTCCGAAATCAGGAGTGCTGAAAACCGAATTTCGTTCAAATCTAAAGTGCGAGAACTGCTCGTCAATAAAATGGCAGAATCAACTTAGCGTTCGTAGTTAGCCGTGTTTAATATTATATTTAACTAGCTTGCCAGGCAGGCGTTGTTCTGCCCTTTTCAACGACCCCTTTGACATGATCCTTAAATTCGCAAAAATAATTTGTGGGTTACTCATGAGCAAAAAAATAGCTATCCTATCTCTCAAGTTGGACCAAACTGCACACGGTGTGCAAATTTGATTAAAATCGGTTGGATAGTTTAGGACTTCATCGCGGACAAGCAACGTGACACATAATTTATATATATATATATATATATATATATATATATATATATATATATATATATATATATATATATATATATATATATATATATATATATTAATATATATATATATATATATATATATATATATTGTACATACTTCTTATTACACCTACCTCTTTTCTCTGCACTACTCTAAGGTAGACTAGTAGATAATGCCTCAGGCATTAAGTCCGCCTATATACATCTAATGTGTATATGAAGTTAAATAAATAAATAAATAACCAGGTGATATTTGATGATGACCACCAGTTAATCTCATTTACGTTCCACTAGTTTTCTCTAAAGTATCGAAAGAGGCCACATAGGGAAACTTAACCCGAAGATAGGTAGCAGTATCTTCCTGACAACAACTCAAAATAATTTAAAAAAAACTGCGGTTGGAACCCGCCTGCCAAGCGTGTCAAACATGATAAATTCCCCCATGATGCAATACATAGGAGAGACCTGTTATCAGCAGTGAACTTTAATAGGCTGTAATGGATGGATGGACAGATTGTAAGGTTAATTTTATGAAAACAGCTATAGTTATAATAGTAAGTTATTTAAAAAAAATACAGCAATTATCTAACCATAATAAGATATTTTATTTCGTAAGCAAGATATTTGCAGTAAAAAGAAACAAATGTAACAAGGAATCCGACAGAGGCCGAAAAGAACGGCAGAACGGCAGAACCTTCATCAGTGTCGTGTACTTTAAAAAGTGCTCAAAGTATCTTGGTGGTAAACCCTGTGTGCAAAGTGGTATGTTTTTCTTTGATCGTATTAGGGGATTGCTACTCTGTCTGACTACGCGACTCCGTCTGCGTGCAAATTTAGGGTTTTAATTTTTTGCGCGGTACCCTAAATTTATTGCTAAAATAAAAGTAGCCTAAGTTAATCCTTATAACATTTGATATCTACCGGTGAAATTCCTGCCAAAATCGGTCTAGCCGTTTCGAAGATTAACTGGAAGAAACAGACAGACAGAAAGACAAAAAATTAAAAAAAATATTTTTGTCATCAGTACCGTACTTACTTTTCGTATTTAAAAAGCTGTTATTTTGGCATTACAAACAGACACTTCAATTTTATTTACTTGTATTAATATAAATATATTAACCGTTTAACGCATTTATCGTAATAGGTATGGGAAGAAATGGGGACGCTTCTACCAGAGTCAGACTCGATAAGTGCTGGATGGACGCGTTACTCGGCGTCAATGCACGCGCGTCGCTTGTGTGGCGACTGGAGCGGCAAGCTCAAGTTGCTTCGTTACCAATCACGAAGTAACACACTGAGACTTCGCTTCCGGACGGACCACTCGAGCCACTACGCCGGATACCGTGCGAAGATCACTGTTGCTGACTGTACGTAAATTATATAGATTTTTTTTTCATTAAATTTAATGCATTATTACTAAAAGGTTCGAAAAACCAAATCACTATAGTTACTTAATTTTTATTTAAAAAGCAAAACATTCCTGCACATGAAAGGCCTATATACTCCATTGGACTATAATGGTCTTATAAAAGGAATAGGATATAGGATATTTACCTGCAATTGTAGCATACGACATTGTAGTCTATCATATGTCTACAGTTGACCAAAAGGCTCCTCAAAAATTGTCACAGAGTACGGTCAGTGGATGTAGAGATAATTGAGGTGACATAGATAAACACAAAAAAAAGTAACTTAAAGTGTATATGTGTAAATAATGTAATGAGGGCATTTGTCAGTAAAAAGGAGAATTTTATACGTTTATCTTTACATAAAACGCTTTTTTAACATATGTTTTTTACAATTATTTACAATTAGCTGGAAGAAAAGCACCATATTTGTAGACGTAGGTAATATGTGTGAACTTTATTCTATTGTAGACACGATCTATTGTTTAACATCAAAGTTATCCAATACCAACTCCGTCAAGTTGTTCTGCGTCGTCGACTTTTACAAATAGAGTACTGTAGTGCGAAACGAACGAGAACTGCGGATGTGATAAGGCCGAGCGTTGCCGTCACTTCCATTGAATTGCAAAAAACCGCAAGAGCGGTGAAGCAATTTAAAGTAAGCTACAAATGGCTCACCCCGTCAGCTTATATTTTTTAAAGAATATGGGTGACAAATGAGCACATAGTTCACCTGTTAATAAAAGGATGAATAGACATCGTCATCTAGCGTCGATTAAGAATCAAGTGTAAGAGTTTGGTCCTACCCAAGCCGAGCCGCTATTTGTGCAGCAGTTATACTATATTGCTAAAGCCTGACTGTACCTCGTAAAATTATATGCTTTAACCTGTATACTCCCGTTCGCTCGGGACCGTAATGGCGGCAAAATTTGAAAATTAGCAAATTTTTTGCTATATTGCAAATTTTGCTATATTCAAAGTAACTATGGCACCACGAGATTTAACGACGATTAAGATCGTGACATCGTCATGTATGTGTGTGTGTGTGTGTGTGTGTGTGTGTGTGTGTGTGTGTGTGTGTGTGTGTGTGTGTGTGTGTGTGTGTGTGTGTGTGTGTGTGTGTTGTGTGTGTATGTGTGTGTGTTGGTGTGTGTCTCATCATCATCGTCATTATTACAGCCCTTCACAAGTCTACTGCTGAACATAAGCCTCCCCCAAGTAATGACACAAAGCACGGTCCTGAGCCACCTGCATCCATCGACTTCCTGCATATCTTACCAAGTCGTACCGGTACTAGGCTACGCCTACCGGTACGAGGCTGCCACTCGAGAACCTTTCTTCCCCATCTGTTATCGATTCTTCGAACTATATGGCCGGCCCATTGCCACTTCAGCTTACTAATCCGTTGGGATATGTCGGTCACTCTGGTTTTAGTGCGGATATATCCTCATCAGGATATCCTCATGCGCTGGCGCGCGCGCGGTAAATTTGTGTGTGTGTGTGTGTGTGTGTGTGTGTGTGTGTGTGTGTGTGTGTGTGTGTGTGTGTGTGTGTGTGTGTGTGTGTAAGGAAGACGTGTTTCTCTACTCAAGACTTTAATTATACTGTTCTTATTCTACACTTAACACAAATATATATAATTTCGTGGAGCCACACTACTCCTCCCACCGATAAAAACATAAAAAAATAAATTAATACATTAGTTTTTTTTTTTAACTTATAAAACTAAATATTAAATTTAATTCTAATAAAAATATAAATTATAAAAATTCAATCTTATTATACACCTATTATTTTCTAAACATAAACTACAAAATTAAAATACGTGGTATTCTATGGGTAGGTCGGGTGGGCAGATCCCACTGTCCCATATTAATGTCGAGGTCACAGTCTTGTACATAGTTTCGTCACAGTTTATTAGTTATAAACGTCTACTTATGTTTAAATATTTTCTTATATTTTTTTCACAGTAAAAGTGTAGTACATTTTAAACTAAGTCACTTACTCGTAGGCATTAAGTCATTTAGTCATTTAAATCATTTTGTAATTATACGACTTTTCTAGTCTGAACAATAATAACACTCTTCTCATTTTCACATTTCAATATTTCATTATACTTCAAATATTTATTTATTCTTTGTTAACCACTAGTTATTTTCCATTTTACTCCACAGCAATTTGCTATTTATTAAATATTTATGATATTTGTCTCACGTACACGGCTGTATATGTATGCCGATACATACATGATCAAGATTATGGGCATATTACTATACAATTCTAAAAGAAAACTCTCATTTCCCTCATTACCAATACGTTAAAACTCATCCCGCATTTTATAGTATCCGAACAACCTTAAAAATTAATCGGTTATTAGGTTTTCCAAACACTCAGCTGATCAGGCCGATTGTATGTGGATATGCTAACCCCCGATAATTTTTATTTCCTTTGCTCACACCTACATACTCTCAATACCTTTTATTTATAATTATGTATTCAATATCTTATTCATAAATTTTCGTACGTCTTTCACAAATTTATATCTTATAGTCTAGTATAATATTTAGTTACATTATTGTCAGTCAGGGATTGGGGCTCACAATATGGGCACAACAAAATTTAAATCAATTAATTATGTACATTATGTAATGAGTTTCAAAATTGTATTAAACGAAGTAAATATTCTCATAATCCACACAAGTAAGTACTATTTTAAAGTAATAAATTATAATAGTTTAAACTCTTTAAAAGTTAAACATAATAAAATCGAAAATAAATTACTATATTGCATATTAAAATTAAGAGAACAAAGAAATAATAATGGGAACGTAAGTCGTTATCACTACCATAACAACAAACGGATCAAAATACAAATTGCAATCTAGCAGTGCTAGCGATTTGAGACACTTTGTTTTAAATTCCAAAGTACGTATACGGAAATGTTTGCGATTACATCGAACTATGACCACACGGTGTGATTCACACCTAATTTTAAGATAACAACAATATATTATAACATGAATATAAGTATTAATTTAACGTTGTTAGAAATATTATGATGTTAATTATAGCGTATACAAAAAAAATTAAAATATCACTGAAACAGTTATGTAACAAAACGTTAATTTATTTAAGAAGAACAATTTTGATGTCTATAGTCAACCCTATGGATTTGGTCGGGGATCCCCTTATTACCTTGTATTTTTGTAGATTGTTAGGCCTTTTTATTATCATTTCTTTTCATAAATCGTAATATAATCGTACATACTTTCTCTTTTTTAATTAATATTTTGACATTTAGCTAGCTTTATTGCTCTCTATTCACGCATATATGTATTTATTTATTAAATATCGGGAACCGGAGTTTCAATTCACTTCAATTATATTTCATTTCATGATATTTATCATGCGGGTACTTTATACACATACATATGGGCCCCCCATTTACTTGGGTATTTTAATCATTTTATTTTATTGGTACATACATTTTTTTTCATACTGTATCAAGGTAATAGTGTACCTTGGGTTGTGCGCACAACCTTGAGGTCTACGTTTTTTAAGTCACTTTTAAAGGACTCCAACAATTGTCACAGAGGAAAACTATGTTCGCACTATGATCCAACTAAGGATGTGACCTCAATGTACCATTATTAAGGGTAACAAATTTAAGACTTCTCTGGTCCCCAACAGTACTAATATGAGTAAATCACTTGTACTGAAGGTATTGTTCCGTAGTACCCGTAACTCTCGTAACCCGTAAACTCGTAAATAGTGTCTTATCCGACACTATTCCGATGATATCCCGGACGTCAGTCTGAGCGAGATTAGAATGGCTCTCCACCACCTTAAAAACTAAAGTGTACAACCAGTGCGTGTTGCCAGTGATAAGTTACGGATCTGAGACGTGGTCATTCACCGCTGGCCGAATGAGGACGCTCAAGGTCGCTCAGCGAACTATGGAGAGGGCTATGCTCGGAGTTTCACTGCGTGATAGACTCAGAAATGAGGATATCCGCAGTGAAACCAGAGTGACCGACATAGCCCAACGGATTAGTAAGCTGAAGTGGCAATGGGCCGGCCATATAGCTCGAAGAACCGATAACCGATGGGGAAGAAAGGTTCTCGAGTTGCAGCCTCGTACCGGTAGGCGTAGTGTAGGGCGACCCCCCACTAGATGGAGTGACGCCCTGGTAAGACATGCAGGAAGTCGATGGATGCAGGTGGCTCAGGACCGTGCTTTGTGGCATTACTTGGGGGAGGTTTATGTTCAGCAGTGGACTTGTGAAGGGCTGTAATGATGGTGATGATGATATAACTTTTTTGATGGCTGGCTCTACACGACTTTAATTAATTTTCTCAATCCGGGAAAGTGTAATAATTTTTAATATACTTTTTTTTTACGTATTTATTATAATTTTACTATCGGTGGCCAGCCGGTGCACGCAGCGAGCGGAGTCGCGCGCGCACCGACTGGCAGGGTCGCCATGTAATGTCGTACGGTTGTTAAATAAAAGGAAGACGTGTTTCTCTACTCAAGACTTTAATTATACTGTTCTTATTCTTTTTTTTTTTTGCGCCCGAAGCAAATAAAGGGCTACCCTATACGTAGGGGAGGCGGAAAATGCATTACGCATACCACGATAGCCGGTCTATCGTGGTTATGAGGGACTCACATCCTACCGGGGACCTAAGTGATACCCTCTAAAAACCGCCTTTAGGGACAGGCAACTGGCTGATTAAGCTTTATTGTGTCTTATCGTGAGCGACCCTCTTTTGGGAAAAGAGGGCGCAGGCCGCTACGAGCCGCTGAGGGAGTGCCTACGAAGGCAATTAATTATGAGTGAGTAATAATTTAATTTAATTAGAGTTAGCCCGAGCCGCCAGGAGGCAGTTCAGGTCGTTTGTTAGTTTATTAGGTGGGTCCGAGAGAGAGTTTCTCGGCCTGCGCACTCGATAGCGAGAGGGGGGT